GCCAAACAGTCAATTGTTTGTGTTGGAGCAGAGATGTTAACAGCCAACTTGTGCCCATCAGTCAGAACGTACTACGGTCAGCTGAAAAACACAGGGAAGCACTAGCAGCCTTCCAGTGAGGAGCTCCACGGCAAGACGCAGAGCTAGCAGGTGTTTTATAGAGACTGCAGCAGGCTCAACAAGTCGAGCTTTTCCTTGCCACGATACGCAATGGCGGAGGCCGCCAGCTAAAGCCACCGCTTGAAAAAACAAAAGGGAAATCGGCCAACTTCCTCAATATTTTGGTACTAACAACACAACACTTGCCACAGAAGAGTTCCTGGAGAGGACTGGAGCCAGGAAAGAGTCAACGTGGTGCCAGGAGAGGAGCACAACAGGACAAAAAAAAAAAAAAATAGTCAGTGGCAGCAAGTGACTTAGGGAGCAAAGACTTTGCTTTGGGGTTGCTGCGTAGCTGCGTTCTTGGGTCAGCTTTGTTAGTGTACTTTTAAACATCATCCTCTCCTCTAAGCTCAGGAGACAGGTTAACTCCTGCCCACCTCCATAGGTGCCCATCCTTACCTATGGCACGGTGTGCACCTGGGGCCAGGCAGCCATGGGGCTGGAGTGCCACCTTCCGGCAAGTCACAGGCTGGGCAAGGAGAGCACACCAGGAACACATGTCCTCCAGAGCCCCCAGGCCGTTCCCATTGCTGCTTCTCCTTCCCGTGTCCTCACCTACTTCATGGGCCACTGGGAAGAGGCAAGAGAAATGACACGGCGCAGCTTTTGGCAGGTTGGCTCTGGAGCAATCGGAGGCGACAAGGACTGCGATCAGACAGTTCCCCAGATCTTGGTGCAAATGTGCGCTCGCAGCACACAAGCCACCCGTGTCCTGGGCTGCCCCCAAAGCCGCGTGGCCAGCAGGGCGAGGGAGGGGGTTCTGCCCCTCTGCCCCACCCTGGGGAGACCCCCCGGCAGTGCTGCGTCCAGCTCTGGAGCCCTCAGCACAGGAGAGACATGGACCTGCTGGAGTGGGGCCAGAGGAGGCCCCAGCGATGCTCCGAGGGCTGGAACAGCTCTGCTGGGAGGACAGGCTGGGAGAGCTGGGGGGGCTCAGCCTGGAGCAGAGAAGGGTCCGGGGAGACCTTATTGCAGCTGCCAGGGCTTAAAGGGGGCTGATAGAGATGGGGACAGACTTTTTAGCAGGGCCTGTTGTGATAGGACAGGGGTGATGGTTTTAAACAACAAGAGGGGAGATTTAAACTAGATGCAAAGAAAAAAATTTTCCCAGTGAGGGTGGTGAAACCCTGGCCCAGGTTGCCCAGAGAGGTGCTAGATGCCCCATCCTTGGGAACATCCCAGGTCAGGTTCAACGGAGCTCTGAGCAACCTGCTCTAGCTGAAGATGTCCCTGCTCATGGCAGGGACATTGGACTAGATGGCCTTGAAAGGTCCCTTCCTACCCAAACCATTCTGTGATCCTATGATCTTCTCAGCAATATGCCAGTTGCCATGGGTCAAGGTCTGAGCACCCTCCAAAAACCAAGCAACTCTGGAGCGTGCAACAGTCACCTGTGGATCAACTCAAAACCACCCCAGAGGTCCAGCAGGACATTGATGAAGGAGAAAGCCTGACTTTTTTTGAACACTTGATCCACCTCCTAGCACCAGCCACCTCCATCCTGGCCACTCTCAGCAAGATGGTATCCAAGCGTTTAGCAGGCCTTGATGGACCCGTCTTGTGAGAGGTTATCCAGTATTTCTAAGGCCAAAAATGTAAGTACATACAAAGGCATCTGGCAGCGGTGGGTTTCAGAGCCAAAATGGACACGCTGCAAAACATTTCCTTCCATTTTAAGCCAGGCATACCTCCTACAAGCCCATTTGATTTTAAAAATCTCTATGTTTACAATCCAATTCCTCTCTCGCAGGAGAGTCACATAGAATTCCAGCTTTCCTCAGGCAGAAACCAGCCCCGCCCAAACTTTCCATATCTTTCTACCATCTTCTATTTCGATTCAGCCCGTGAAGTTTAGCACACGGACACATTCAGCGGAGCAGAACCCTGACCACCTGGTGCCTTGCTTGCCCTGAGCTGTCTACCAGGAGCAGTCTTTACCATTTCCTGCTCAAGTTCCATTAACTACCCTAAAAGAAAGAAGTGGGGAACAGTCACGTTCAAAACGCAAAGATGAATCACTCCATCACACCTACCTGTGTGCCCAGCCAGAGTGGAAGATCAAGTGGCACAGGCCTGTCCCAGTGTCACTCAGGGTAGGCAGGATGACACAGGCAGCCCAAGAAGTCGCACCTAGTCTACTCTCTTTTCTACTAGACCAGTCACTAAACATATTAGGATTATCAATAGAAGATATTAAGACCCACTGGGCAAAACCAGCATCCTCTCCAAACTCCTTGTGTTTCACTGTCCTCATGCTGCTGGTTTAACTTGTCTGTAGCTTCATTACAAGTTACCAGAGCTTCTAATATGCTGATAGTGACACCCACCTTGCAGCAGCTAAAGCTGGTAACACCTTCTCTCTTTCATCAATACTCCATTGGTGTGATGAGTGCAGACCCAGAGGAGACCCCTCCGGCAGTGGTGCAGCAGAACCACACCAAAACACAACTGAACTCTTGGACTGCTTGCACAAAAAGGCTCCACAACAGAGTGGCAACGCTTCATGAAGCAAAACAGCTTTTCTCTTGCTTCATCATCTGCCTTCCTCCAGGCAGGACTGCAGATGGTGGTGTTAAAACAAATCTTGTAGGTAAAAAGGAAAAGAAGAGATGAGAGTGAAGACAACTCAAGGAAGAAACATCCTGTGCTGAATGGGACCAGTATATTCAAGACAAGATTATGCAGTAGGCAAGAGATACAGATATCTGCACAGAATTGTGTTTCGCTACAGAGAACTCATCAAAATCAGAGACAGAAGCAGAACGAGATCAAAGTTAAATCAAGTTGAGGGCAAAACACCAGTTTTAAAGTTAAGTCATTCAAGCAGCTGCGAGAACCAGCCTATCAGACTACATGAGATGTTTAAGGTCTTCTGCACAACTTGAGCTGGATGTAGACGCTGGATAAAGGTCAACAGGACTGGTGTAACAGGAAGCTGGATTTCCACAGCTATTCGCAGCCTTCCTACCAAGTCACGCAGCACGTAATCAGGGCAGGCGCAGTCTGAGACCTTTAAGTTCATCTCATCCACGCGCTGGTTTTCAAAACGGGACTATTAGGGAACAGCAAAGTTTTAAAGTCTGCAAGACACTCATGTGTCCTGCCCAGACTATTGCCTTTAAACACATATGACAAACTAAGAGAGACCATTAGTGATTACTATGATACCTCCATAGAGAGTAGACATTTCCATAAACCTGTAGGGCAGCAAAGGAGAAGCATCAGTGGAGGACAAACTACCTAATATTACCAGGCTCAAACAGTACTGGTGTCTTTACAGCAAATTAAAGATTGGCAAAGAGGCGTTTTGCAAGTTAAGTTTGAGAGAACAGAAGAGATTAGCCATACAACTAAGATGATGAGCTAGAAACTGCTTCATCCATTGCAAACACTGCTGCAAAACAGGGGTTTGGTCATGTCTTGCTGATGACTGGCCAAGTCTTGCTCCAAATAGGAAAAACTCTGCGTTTTAGTGACACTATTTAGTGAAACTATTTCTTAGAAAAATAGGAAAGGCTTAAAAGACAGGCAGCTTTAGCACAGTGACCCAGAAAATAACAGATGTGAGCCACTAGCTTGGAAAAATGAGGTAGTGTTACTGTCCAGACACAGAAAGGACAGAATAGGAAGGAATACAGCAGAGAGACGGTCTTTAATCAATATTTGCACATGCAGGAGATGCCACAGATAGGCCAAAATTTAAAATCTTTGAATCGACCACAAAGGCCTTTCCACATCAGCCTGCACCATTCAAAAATCTCTAGGCGGCAAGCACAATAACGTACACACCACTGCCAAAACCGCAAGATTAAGCGCCACTCGCCAGAGTGCCCGTGATGAGCCCAAGCTTGCTCTATCAAATAAAGGAATGCTGATGTTTCAGCTACCTGATTAAAGAACAAAGTACAATCTTCTCCTCAGAGATGCAAGTTAAAGTCACATTCTACTGAACCAGAAATTCACTTTGGTCCATGACATAGCTCCTTACTGGTTAGAGAAGTTAGTTCACTGGCTATGCAGTTTTCAAGCCAAACTAGAGCTTACAGGAACACAGGATAAGGAAAGCAAAAAACCGCAATTTTACTTCCACGTTTCAGATGCAAACTAGCACAACTGGTACCTCACCGAGGCCAGCAATCTCATTTTATTACCGATTAAAACAAGAGCAGCACACAGGGAAGCAGGGTGTTGTGCAAAACCGCTAGAAGATGGTACTTGTGAGAACACCATGCTATTCCATGCTTTTCACATCAGCTGAACCTGCTGTGGAAGCGCACGCGCCCCATGCTTTTTCACGCACTGACAGAGGCATGCTGAAAGGCTGCTGCAGCCCTGTCTTTCCCAGCTGCATACTGGGGGCCCTCTCTTCCCCTGGCATTTGTTGGATGCCACCGAGCTGGCTGAGAAAAACAAATCAAAGATTAACCCCAAAAGGGAAAAGTTCTTCAATTTTTGGCCTGCTCAACTCCCTGAAGTGGTTTGCAATGCAATCAGAGGAAGGCCTACAGCCCCTGGGGTGGGATGGCAGGATCACAGCAGCCCCGACGGAGGCCAGTCGGCCTCAGTGGGTCACAACTACCAGGCAACTGCGATCACGCACATGCAGTTTTGCAGCAGGATCACATTTTTAAAAACCCAGGGACATTTAACACAAGGGACAAGGGTAAACGATAGCTCTGATAGAGCCTGAACCAAGTCTGCAGTGGAAGGTGGCTAAGGAGCTGTGCCAATGCAGAAAACATCACAGCTACAAGGCTGAGTGTGGAAAGCTGGTCTGAGAGTTCTCAAGCCTGGAAGAACACCGTTTCAAATGCTGTTCGTGATCAGTTGATACTCACGTGATGAAGTCCAGAAAACTTGCTAGGGGCTCATAGGCATGGTTCCTCATGTGACGAAACTCCACCACCATCTTCTCCTTCAGCTTGTCATCTATGACAGAGACAGTGAGGGGGGAGGCTTCATTGGCCAGAAAGTTCCCATAGTCTGTGCTCTGGAGGTGCAGTTTCAGGTCTGAAAAAGAAAGAATAATTCCACTCTACAGGAAGTTGGGTTTGTTTTGTAGTTTGGGTTTGGTTTTTTTTTCCTTTTTTTTCAGTATATCCAAGAAAGCAGTTGCTCAGCACTTCTCTAGGTATTCTATTCTCTGAAAGATCACCTCAACAAAACCCATGTGTTACGCCATACGCTTTTATTTGTGCTCAGTTTTATTACGGACAATCCAAAGGCAGGAAAAGATCAGTGTTTCACCATAGCAGCATGGTGGTGTTGGGTCGACGTTTGGACTTGATGATCTTGGAGGTCTTTTCTGTGATTCTGTGAAAGAGGAAACTGTGTAACTGAGCACGCACCTGTGCCAGCTGTCCATTGCGCTTGATCAAGGTGGAAGAATCAATCTAGGGATCAATCTAGCTACTGATTTTGCTAGAAATCTGACAAAAAAGAAACAACTTAAGCACTTCCTCTAGCCAAAAGGGCTCTGGTTGCAGGCTTCTCTGAAGCCATCACAACCAAGGACCTATCTACACGCACAAGCAAGTTTCCTCAGATACTAGTGATGTGAAGGCATCTGAAAAGCTTTCAAAGCCAAAAAGACACAAACAGCAACCTTGAAGTTATAAAGCAGTTAGTATTACATCATCAAGTCAGTCCAACTCATTGTACTGGTAAAGAAATGTCAGGCATTAAGGGGTAGAGAGGGCCCAGTGAAGAGGAAGGCCATTTAAATCCATCTCGTATTGTAGGCCACCCCTGCCCAGGATGCAGGAACATGCTCAGAAGCCTTCTCCTCCTCCAGTTTCAAGTAGAGGAAGCCTTTGTTTCCTCTGTTACCCTTGCTGCAGGTCAAGTGCCCAACCAAGCTGCAGTCCTGGCCAAAAAGCAACCACAACATGCTGAGCTCTGTCAAGATAAAAGCCCTGTTTGAGCCAAAAGCATTTAAGTGTCTCTATGGAAAAACTGAATCCAGAACTGAGGAACGTCATATAATCCTGCTCCTCAAAGCTCTACTAGTTGCACTGGTACATAATGTTCATCTCCCTTTGGCTTCACCTCAGAGGGCCAGTTAGGCAAGCACCCTCCTAGGGATTCAAGACCTTTATGGGGAAAGGAGAGTAGCTGGAAGAGTTTAGTCAAACCAGATGTGAACACACCGTCCAGAGAAAACAAAACAAAAAAAAAAGACATTTCTCCCTGGTTCCTCTGAAGCAGGAGCACTGACGCTGCCTTTCCCTTCCACTGAACCGTACAAGTCCTCAGCATCATGGCATTGAGCATCCACAGCATCCAGGTCAGAGCAAGGACTCAGCCTAGCCTGAGAACTTTGATCTTTTGACGTCACACCCAGTTACAGGCATGAGATGAAGAGCATTGTCCGCATCAGGCTCCAAACTGACCTTCTACTGTACAGTGCGATACTGTCCTCAGCCCGAGGGGTGGAAGGGTCAAACTGCTTTCAAGCTGACTTTAACTCTTCTGGGTGTTTCCAAGGGGATCTAGCAAAGATGTTTTTGACCCAGCACATTTTTAGTTATGAAGACGTTACCACCGCTAAGTCTCACAGGAAACAGATTGTGGTTATAGAGGTGGTTCTGTCGTGTTTCTCAGCACTTTACAAGCATGTTTGGTGCTACTCTTACTTTTAGTAAGGAATCCCGGATGCAGCAAAGAGAGCTACTTGCCCAACACCATGCATCATGGCTGAAGCAAAGAGAAAATTAAGCTAGACCTCTGCTCCCCAGACTATGCTGCAGCTTAACAGCTGTGTTTTATTCTACCAAAACATCATGATCTTACACTCACACTTTCGAGGTGGGAAAACATTGTCTGGATTACTCAAGGCAGCAGAGTTTTCAACAAAACTCCTGTTGAAGTCAAACACTGGATCATGTCAAAACTCAGAATGCCCCTCATGTCCATGCTGCCTGCACGGAATTGCCACTGCCAGTAATCACTTCCTAAACCCTCTAAAACGCTCACAGGCAGCACCCTGCACGCGACAAGTTCTCACCCATCTGTTTTGCAATTGCTTGATTTTTGAAAGCTACAACATAGTTACAGAGGGGAAAAATCTACCGGAATTATGTCTTAATGAGTTTCAGTCCCTCTTTTGAAAGCTCTTGGATGATGAACTTTGGAGCCCGAGCATAAATTAAGTTCAGGGCTTTACTAGTTTGCTTTTAGCAAGAGGCTGGAGAAAGCATGGAGCAAAATTCAGTAGTTGCTCAATGAATAGGAGAGAAAGGGTCCTGGTAAGAGTATTGCACCCATAAAATCAGACTGCAAGGGAAGGCACAGGGGACTGCAGTAGCTACATTCACATACCTCCTACTTTCAGTTCTCTGTAATTGTGCAGAGCTCTAACGAAAACTAAGCCTGCCCAAAAAGGCATGTGATGTTATTTTGCAGCTATACAGGACTTTGGAGAGGAAGTAGCTATTGCATATCCCACCCCGTCTTACTTCAGTAGGGAAGCTTCCAAAGCTTTCAGCTTGTTTCCTCAGCTCCAATTCTGCTACTCCAAAACCACGGCTTCCTTTTGGTGTCATCACAACCTGCAACTCCGCTCATACTTTTGAGGCTGCAAGAGGTCACCTTGCTATGGGGTCACTTGATGCTAGAAACCCAGCGACACAAAAAAAAAAAAAAAAGGACAGACTTTGCTGTATCATTCACTTCCAGGAGGTGGGAGCTGCATTGCATTCAGACTGGAGCCACACAAGCTGCACGCCGTGCCTTGCAGCCTCTCCCTCAAGAGCTCTGAGCAAGCTCCCATGAGCTGCTTGGCCAGAGCATTTTGTCCTGCTCGATGAGGGGGTTGCCCCCCCAACTCCACAGCACAAGAGCCAGCACAACATTATGTTGCAACTGGAATACAGGCCATGTTTATATAACACTTGGAATTAATTTTTAGGGGGAAGGCCAGCCACAAACTGCAGGAACTAAACTCTGCTGAATCTCTAAGCATCCAAGCAGACAGAACAGAACATATTTTCCAAAAATTGGACTGCATTTATCAACCCTGAGTCAATGCATCCCATGGCATACCAGCGCCTTACATGAGCCTGTCCTCCACTAGCCACTGGGCCGGTCACCAAGCCTCAGCCAAGGGGGTTCGGGAGTCTTTAATAGGCCTGTTCACATGTCAGGCTTCTCACTTAAGACTGGACTAATCCCGTGGTTTCACAAATCCCCGGCCAGGAGAGCTGTCCCAGTAGCACTGTGACTAATAAACGGACCCACTGCTGAGCAAGCCCCAAGCTCTCCAAAAGCTCAAGTTCCTCTTTCCTAACGCAAGTTCAGACTGAGCTGGACTCGGCCTCTGGCAGCAACAGCAGCACCTCGGCCGGGGCGGCTGCCAGAGATCCCACAGGCTGCCTGTCGACGAGACACTGGCTGCGAGTCTTCTGCCGTGCCTCTTCCCCAGCAGCCCGCTGGAGGGGAAGAGAGACCCGCACCTGGAGCCCAGCCGCTCCCGATAAGCTCCTCCAGATGCTGACTAACAGCAGCACACAGCCTCAACCCACCGACTGCTTTTAAGAGAGGTACGTTTGCCTGTTTCGACGTTTTTCCAAGCGGCTCACGCACTTTAAGAAACAGACTGAGCCAGCATTTGGCAAGGGAGCGCTGGAATTACCACAATGCTTTTGTTCTTTCTCTCTCCTCCCCCGCAAAAGCTAGTAAGTGATGGCCAGATCGCAGTTCCCAGAAAGCTGCCTCGTGCAAGAGCACGACAGCTTGTCAGAACGACGGCCTTTTTCTGCCGAGTATTCAAGCAGGATAGCGCTCGAGATTACCATGACATGTACTTACAGCCCCCTCCTTTCAGCTCTCGGATCAGGCCCTCTGGTCTGGATGCAGCTGGCTGTATGCATATTGCCGCCAACACCACGCCTCGACATTTCAGATGACTTTTTCTTTAGGGACTTCAGATCCACAGTAATAGTATGACCCTCTCCTGCAGGTTTGCTTTGCCATAACAAGGAATCAAGTCATTACTCAGTCTTTCAGACATCTGTCACTCAAAGCCTGCTCTGTAAGCCCTACTTAGACAGTGACCCATGGCCCCACCAGCTCATACTTCCAGCCCTTACATCTTCGGCGTCCTCCCATCACTGCATTGCAGAGCTCTGAATCAACTTAAGGGCTCAAGCACTTCCAGGCACAGACCAATTCGTCTTCTCACACACAGGCTTTCGTAACTTCTGAGCTGAACTGGTGTTTTCACACAATTATCTGCTGTAACCCCAACATCTCACTCCAAAGCACCTGGGGCCATCACGGCATATATAAAAATTAAAATATCGTTTGCCATCTCCCAGGCCTGAGGCAGTAAAGCAGCTGAGGGATTACACAGCAGTCTGCAGATCAGCTACATCGCCCACGTCTCCCTTCAGAAGACCGCAGTCATTACCATTTGGCTTGCTGCTGTCTGTTTGGTCTCTTTATAGCCACATCAGACACTCATGAAGCCGATTCTCCAAAATCTCACCCGAGAAGCACCCAGAGACCCTTAATTCCCCGGAGAATTTAAGACCTTCTCTGGGGTCGCACACCACCAGCAGCAAAATGCCACCTTTCCTCTGCTGTCAGGCAGCAAATTCCTCTGAGCTACAGAGAAATGTCTTCTCTGGCCCTTTCCCCTCTACCAGGTGTCTCACCTCTAGCTCTTCACCTCTGTGTTTGAGATGTCCTCAGCACCAAATGCCAGCCTGTATTTCTAGCTCAGCCCTTCCTGGGGTTAAACTCACCCTCCTCAGAGCTTCAAAGCCAGGGTTCTTGTTCACTTTGGAGCCCTTAACCACAGGCAGACCTCTCGTGATCCTTCCAAAAAGTGAGGTAACCCCTCCTAGCCTGCCTGCACCTCCAGTTAGCTTCACCCCTACGTACCCTTTTTTTCCTCTCTAAAAGTAGACCGCACAAAGTCACAGCTTCTGTGATCTCAGAGGTCCAGTACAGTAACAGGGCATCGGGCCAGCACCTAGTCCAGCGGTTTAAGGGAGAGGCAACAAATC